TTTGAATTCTTTCCTCCTCCTCCGGGGTCTGTGTTCTGAACAGCAGTTCTTCCTGGGGTGATTGCAGCTGGGTGAAGGCCACTGCTATTGCCATGGCACCTACAGCTACAGGCCCAGGCGCAACAAGCCGTCGTGGCTGCCTCCCTGGGATTAGTCACAACAAGCACATCTCCTTCCCTTGCAGATTGCACTCGCCGCCCTGCTGGGAAGTACCTGCCACCCGCTGGCAGAGGAGCCCGGGCTGAAGGTAAGACCAGACGCATGGGTCAGTGATGCCCTTTGTGCAGAGTTTGCTCTCGGATGATCCCCTGGTCCTGAAATACGGCAGGGCCATTCGGTGTTTACTGAAACCGTTGTCATTGTGCAGCCGCTGGCCCTACCCACCCCATGGGGTTAGCAGCCCCAGGCTGCCGTGGGCGGACCCCTGTGCTTCCGGAGAAGTTGGGCAGGCGGTAGCATCACAGCCACTCTCTGCAAGGGATGCCAGGATGGGAGCAGCTTTGGTGAGCAGAGCAAGGGCCATAGGGTCCCGCTGTGGAGGACGCCGGCGAGTGTGCTGGCTCACACCCTCTCCTTGACCATGACCCCCCTTCCCCTGTCATGGGCTCCAGGCTGCTGGCCCAGTGGGGGTTGTGGCTGATTTGATCACTGCAGCCCTTTCACTGGCTGGTGCCAGCATGAGGGGCTCACCTCTGCTTCCAAGGGGGGCGGGCACTGACTGGCCCTTGCTCTTGATTTCTGTTACAATATCATTTGGCTTGACCAGCATTGGGAGTGGCCACCAAAATGATTCGGGGGGTGGAGCACGTGACCTACGAGGAGAGGGATTTGGGCTTGTTCAGTCTGCAGGAGAGAAGAGCGAGGGGGGATTTGAGAGCAGCCTGCGACTCCCTGCAGGGGGGTTCCAGAGAGGAGGCGAGAGGCTGGTCTCCGTGGGGGCGGGTGGCAGAACGAGGAGCAATGGGCTCAAGTTGCAGTGCGGGAGGTCTAGGTTGGAGATTAGGAAAAGCTGTTTCCCTAGGCGAGTGGGGAAGCGCTGGGCTGGGCTGGGTCCCCGAGGGAGGGGCTGGAATCTCCATCCCTAGGGGTGTTTGTCCCGGCTTAACACAGCCCTGGCTGGGATGGTTGAGTTGGGGTTGGTCCTGCTTTGGGCAGGGGGCTGGACTCGACTCCCGAGGTCTCCGCCCGCCCTGAGGTTCTCTGATTCAAAGAGTGCTGCAGATGGAGTGGAGCATGGAAGGCAGCCTGTGCCCATGAAATGGTGCTGGCAGTCACCAGCCTGGCTGACTGCAGGAGAGCAACGTACAAGGTCCAGATTTGTTGTCTGCTCACTGACCATGGAGTGGGGGCGCCTTGCACCCTAGGGCCCCTCTGGTGAGAGCTCAGCCAGCCCTCCTGTCTGTCCATCTCTGAGAACTCTCTGGTGCCCAGGCCCACCCATCTTTAATAGGCGTATCCTCACGTCCTCATGCGAGGCAGGCACTGCTGTTCTCCCCACTGCACAGATGGGGAACTAAGTGACTTGCCCACGGTTGCCTAGGAAATCTGTGTCAGAGCTAGGACTTAAACCCAGATTTGCCAAGTCTCGGCCAGTGCCCTAATTGCTGGACCCCTTTCCAGTCTTCATCCTGTCCCAGGCAGACAGGCAGTCCCATCTAGGGCTGTCAAGGAGTGTGGGGCTTCCAGAATACCCCAGAAGGGAAGAGGTGCTTGGGGATGGATGACAAAGGGTCTGTGGGGAGGTGCCATTGCCAGTGCGGGTACAATGTCCATGTGGACACTGCAGCATGAGCAGCAGGGCGGGCTAGCCACCCGTGCTCAGACCCAGGGGTCAGGCAGACCTAGAGCTAGACAGCTCTGGTCGGACATACCGGCTGTCCACACCACCCCATAGAGTGCACGAGCTCTGCCCCTGCCAGGCATCACCTCCCCCACTGCAGTGCAGATACATCTGCTACCTACTCCCTCTTCACATGCTCCCAGAACAGAACAGTGGCCATGGCAAGGAAGGGATGCGGCGGCTGGGCAGCTCCCAGGGAAAGGCTGCGGGAAGCAGCAGTCACGTGGATGGGAGACTGCACAGACTCCGAAGCGGTGGGGTGATGTCTGCTGCTCGCAAACAGAGTTTCCTTTTTAACTGGGTGTCAGGCATGTTCAAGCGGCCAGGCTGAACGCCAGGAGACTGACGGCCCTGTGCTAAAGGCGAAAGTTACAGGCCTCCCCAGCACCGGCTCAGTGGCGGGAAGGGGTGTTCCAGAGGGGCCTGTGGGGAGTTCAGGCTCCATGGCCCCTGCCGAGAATGCC